TCCTCCGGTAATTTCAGCCAGGAGGCGGTTTATCTCGGATCGTAGCCATGCGGCGCGACGAAGGAGAACATCGTCGAGCTCTATCCAGATCAAAAAATCGCTAGGAGGAAGAAAACGCCAGTAAATAACTGCGCGCGGAAACCGCTTGTCTGGAACATCTAATAGCTGCTATTAGTGCGCCTGGGTGGCTGTGTGCGCGTGCATAGATGGCTGTGCGCGCGTGCTTGGGTGGCTGTGTGTGCGTACGTGGGTGGCTGGGAGCGCGTGCGTGGATGGCTGTGCGTGCGTGAGTGCGTGAGTGGCTGTGCGTGCGTGCGTGAATGGCTGTGCGTGCGGGCGTAAATGGATGTGTCTGCGTGCGTGGGTCGCTGTGTGCGCGTGCGTGGGTGGCTGTGCGTGCGTGCTTCGGTGGCTGTCAAGCGTGCGTGGATGGCTGTGCGTGCGTGCATGGATGGCTGTGCGTGCGTGCATGGGTGGCTATGCGCGCGTGCGTGGGTGGCTGTGCGCGCGTGCGTGGGTGGCTGTGCGAGCGTGCGTAAATGGTTGTGCGTGCGTGCGTGAATGGATGTGTCTGCGTGCGTGGGTGGCTGTGCGCGCGTGCTTGGGTGGCTGTGCGTGCGTGCGTGGATGGCTGTGCGTGCGTGCGTGGGTGGCTGTGTGTGCATGCGTGGATGGCTGTGCGTGCGTGCGTGGATCGCTGTGCGTGCGTGCGTGGATGTTGCTGCGTGTGTGCGTGGATGACTGTGCGTGCGCTTGTGACTGTGTGCTTGCGTACGCATATGGCTGTGTGTGCGTGCGTATACTTGATCAACGAAAGTTTATGGCTGTAACTTGTTTGATTGCGTTGACATATAAACGCACACGCACACACGTACACAAACACACACATACACTCACTCACAGTGAGTGAGTGAGTGAGTGAGTGACTTACGCAAATCGCGGCGAGACTATACTCACACATGGACCACCTCACTGGTTTATATCACCACTTCTTCAGTCTACGTTTCCATCGCTACAGTACCTTGCCTAGAACCGCATGTATTTCAATTTCCTGATACCATAAGCAGTGTTTGCACGGCGACGTGCGTGTGTGCGTGTATATCAGCGTGTGGTGGCCGCATGCACCGCCGGCGAAGCTCTACAGGGATTGTTGCAACCAACCAGATGCAAATCGCGTAATAAACACCCGGATGACGGAGCTTACGTCACGACCGTCAACACACATCAGAGGATCCGATCGCATTAATGCATTATATTAATGCTTCATATTTGGCAATAGTCGCGACGCACTGACCGCTGTTTGCCCGCTGTGTGTTTGCCCCATAGAGATCCTATTACACACGGTGTATAATAATAGCATCTCTATGGTTTACCCAGCCGCGCCTTACCGACGCTGCTGCCACCTGTATGACGAATATCGAACTAAGAACATCGTGAAATTACCTCGCTTATTAATAAGGCTAGCTCATCTTGCATGCCTGCCTATCATACTCTAGTCTAACGTTAAAAATTCGCAAAGAAACGTCGTTACTTTGCTCACTAATTAGAAAATGCAGTGCCACCTGATGTCAGTTTAGATAAAAGTAAAAGCTTTTTGCTCTTTACATATCCACGTAACCATTAAAACCATTTTTTGATGTAATTGCATAATTACACTTCTCACTGGTCGTATAGATTATGTCATGTAATATGCTTCACGAAATTATCTGCATAGATTGCGATAATTGTAGCGAATATAATGACGAAACCTTGTAATCGTACGGTTATCTTGAGTTTAAAGTGCCGTAAAACACATATATCTTCAAGAAAAACTAAAACAAACCTAGGGCTGTATCTATAACTCATTCTGCCTTGGAGGAGGGCAAACAAATTTTCTGTTTGTGTTTCTAGGCAATGTAGCATATGTTGATGTACTATTTTGATACATTTTGCTTATAGTATTTTCGTTGGCCATGTTTTTCCTGCTGACTGTACGGTATACGCATTAGTTAGTTATGGGACGGTTACCGGCGTTCGTTACAATTATGTTTATCGCTTAGTGCGTGCGAAGCAACTTGGAAAACACCATAGGTCGTGCGAATACGCGTAGAGATGACGTGAAAATATGCTCATGAATGACTGCATGACTACTCATTATTATTACGCAGCACGTACACAAGGTTACACAACGTTTATTCGGCATTATTCTACATTTACCGGGTTTTTTTGCGTTAATGCACAACCTTCGCGATTAATGATAGAAAATAGAAGCACTGTTAACATTTCCCCAAAAAGAACCGGTCTCGTATTATTTCGTTTTATTTTCATTTTATCGTCTTCGTTATATTTTGTCAGCAGTCCACTTCTCTCCTATAGAAACCTACCCTCCCCCACCAGCAGCAGCCCCATCACTACCACCCCCACCAGCAACAGCCCCATCACTACCCTCCCCAACCAGCAGCAGCCCCATCACTACCCTCTCCCACCAGCAGCAGCCCCCTCACTACCCTCCCCCATCAGCAGCAGCCCCCTCACTACCCTCCCCCATCAGCAGCAGCCCCATCACTAGTCACGATGAGCCGAGCAACAGCCGAGGCTACCCGGCGCTCGCGCATGCGCTGATCGGTCTCTCACAGCGCAGCGGCAGCGCCAGCTTCTGTTTCGGCTGCCGCCGCCGCGCGCCGCAATCAGTGTGATGCTGCGCTCGCGCTCGCATCCGCAGCTGAAGCTGAAGCTGAAGCCAGGACCTACCGCGCGAGCGTTGTTGCTACGCGCCCCGTCCGATGATGTGAGTTCGTGATGAGATCTCGACGACAGCAGACTCAGCAGAGGAGCGACTACCGACGCATGTTCGCGGCGGACGCGTGCCGATAGCTGTGTGCCGAGAGTCACTGTCACTGTACTACGGAGGGAGTGGATGCGCGTACGCTCGTATAGTCGCGCATAGTGTGGGTTACACACACACACACGCGCGCGCGCGCGCACACGCACGCACGCACGCACGCACGCGCGCACACACACGCACGCACGCGCACGTGCACGCACACGCACGCACGCACACACATTTATTTAATAAATAAATAAATAAATAAATAAATATATATATATATATATGTGAACACCGCCGCAGGCGGAGGGAGAAGGGAGCTGGAACCCACGCGGTATGACCGGTGATCACGTCCGGGGACCGTCGGGGGTCCGTGTTCTACAGAGAGGATCGCGCACTAGCGGAGGAGGATCAGTGTTTCTCATCAGGGGAGTGTGACATCATACATCGAGATCACAGACAGAGTTCAACGCATCGAGACGGACGGTCGGCGAGTGCGGAAGTCGCTGGCATTTCACTGGCCGGTAGGTATAGGGCAGAAGGCGAGAGATTGCACGGCAGACGAGGTCCGTTGCCGTGTGACCGACCGATCAGTGTGTGTGTGATTGATTTGTTTTGTGCACGCCGACGCGTTAATCACGGGGAAAAAACGCATAACGAGCGAGAGAGAAAGAGAGAGGGGGAGCGAGAAAGAAAGGAGAGAGAGAGAGAGAGAGAGAGAGAGAGAGAGAGAGAGAGAGAGGCGGGAGCGGGAGTAGCTAGCCGCTGTTGTCGTTATCGCTGTTGGCGGCTGATGCACCACACTACGAGTAGTCACGCACGAGAGTCAATTGAGTATAGACAGACGTGACTCGAAATTTCGGATTCGTGCCGGTTTGTTGGCCGTCATTAGTCTAGGGGCATGCGTGCGTGCGTGCGTGCGATCGTGCGTGCGTTCGTGCGTGCGTGCGTGCGTGCGTGCGTGCGTGCGTGCGTGCGTGAGTAGGTCTTTGTGTTCGATGGTTTTTGATGTGCATGTCAGCCCGCGTGTGAGGTTGCAAGCGTTTGCATGCGGGTGTGCGTGCAACCGTGCGTGTGTGCGTGAGGACGTGCTTGAAAGCGGGCGCGTGCGGTCGGGCGTGCGTGTGTGCGTGAGGACGTGTTTGAAAGCGGGCGTGCGGGCGGGCGTGCGTGCGTACGGGCGTGCGTGCGTGCGTGCGTGCGTGCGTGCGTGCGTGCGTGCGTGAGGACGTGCTTGCATATGGGCGTGCGTGCGTGTGTACGTGCATGCGTAAGTACGCGCTTGCATGCATGTGGGCGTGCGTGTGTTTCTTACGCACGAGAGAATCTTATTCATGTTGTTTGTGCACAGGGCGGGCGTGCGGTGTACTTGTGTGTTGCAGATGAGCATTTGACCGGCATTTACGGGTAATTATCGGCAATAATAGGCGAAATAGAGTAGAGAAACATTAAGACTTTGGTCGTAAATACATTTCGTGTTTATTTACCTTTTTTTTAAATTGAGACGTTCCACGTGCCTGTGGTGTGTACGTGCATACGTGCGCGCGTGCTTGCATGCGGGCGGGCGTGCGCGCGTGTGTACGCGCGTGATGGAGGTGGAAATTCGTAATCGATACGTAAATATAGTAGCAGAAGACTGAAGCGGCTGGTTTTAATCTCAGCTGTGTCATCACTATGTAGATTCAATTACGCGCCAAGAAAGAGATAGAGACAGAGAGAGGAGGATGGAGAGGAATATAGAGAGAGAGAGGAGGCGGAGAGAGAGAGAGAGAGAGAGAGAAAGAGGGCGAGAGAGGGAGGGAGAGAGAAAGAGAAAGAGCGATCGAAAGAGAGCGAGAGAGGATGAGCGAGACAGTGAAAGAGAGAAAGAGAGAGTGAGAGAGAGAGAGAGAGAGAGAGAGAGAGAGAGAGCGAAAGAGAGCGAAGGTCGGAGACCCAATTAACCAGCGAGTTTTTTTATTGAAGATTTTCGTAAACATGCATGCTAGACGCTGCTGCACTAAAACTCATTTCGTTTCCAACTGCGCTACAGCCGACAGCGCCACCACGCGGCGTCATCACGCGGCGTAGAGGAAGCCCATCGCGCAACCGCGGCGTGCGCAGAGCAAACGCACGACTAACCTTCTCCCCCTCTCCCCGCAGCACCGGACCACGCGAAACCAACTCTCGCGCGAGCAAGGCGAACCACGCACGCATGGAGGGCCTCGCCCTCGTCGAACACGCCGCCGCTGACGTCACCAACGATGACGTCAGCTGGTCGCCGGCGGCGCCCGTCGCGCCGACTAGCGGCGAGTCGGCGAACGTGACGTCGATCTACGACCACCTGGCCGACAAGCTCGGACCGCAGCGCGACCCGCTGACGGCGATCCTGCCGATCAGCACGCTGTACGTGATCATCTTCATCACGGGCGTGCTGGGCAACGTGAGCACGTGCGTCGTCATCGCGCGCAACCGCTACATGCACACGGCGACCAACTTCTACCTGTTCTCGCTCGCCGTCTCCGACCTGCTGCTGCTCGTGCTCGGCCTGCCGCAGGAGCTCGTCCAGTACTGGCACCAGTACCCGTACCCGTTCAGCAACGCCTTCTGCGTGATGCGCGGCATGGCCGCCGAGACTGCGCTCAATTCTTCCATTATGACGATCACGGCGTTCACCGTCGAGCGCTACTTCGCGATCTGCCATCCGATCCGCAACCACAAGATGTCGAAGCTGTCGCGCGTCATCAAGATCATCGTCGGCATTTGGATCATCGGCGCGCTCATGAGCCTGCCGATCATTCTCAACTTCGGCGTCATCTACGTGCGCCATCCGGAGACGGGCGACGTCATCGCCGAGTCGGCGCAGTGCAACGTCTTTCCGGACATATCGCCGCGCATCTTCGAGGTGTCGACGTTCCTGTTCTTCTTCGCTCCGATGTGCATCATCACCGTGCTCTACCTGCTCATCGGCTACGAGCTGCGCAAGATGCACCTCAGCCGCGTGCCGTCCGACAGTTCGACGAACAGCGGCGAGGTGACGGCCCGCCTGCAGGTGTGCGCGCGCCGAGCCGTACTGAAGATGCTCAGTAAGTACATAGACAGCTACATATAGTATATAGTATATATATATATATATATATATAGTAAAGATGTTATAGTGATGTAGTGAGATATAGTAGTTCCATGGCAAGGTATGGAATGTAATATCGTTGCGGCCTTCAATGCTCATCGCATTGAGAAGTGTGGTGATCGATTTCTCATGACGTGTGCTCATCAATGGCACGTCACTACAAAACGGTTTATCGATTTAATGCGGCTGCTGTCAAGGGAAGGATGCTTATCGATTGGCTCATGTATGGAGAGTGTACCTATCAATGGCGCGCGACCCGGTGATGTCGGTTCGGTGATTTGAATTTCTCTCACGTCCTATTGCTGATGAAAATGAGAACTGAATCAGAGAGACCAAGGAACGGGCATTCACACCGCCGCCGCCTTAGTGCTTTAATGTACATGCGTTACGCGTAGCCGGAAGGCCCTAATGCACGCACGGTACCCCGTCTTCTCTCTTCTCTCTCTCTCTCTCTCTCTCTATTATTATATATTATCAGGGGCCGTGTCAAAAAACATCGTAAAGTAATGGCTTAATGTTAATGCTAAGATAACACTTACGACTAATGTTAATATTACGAGAGTAGCGTTGACAGAAACACATCGCAGCTATTAGAAAACTTACGATAGCAGGAACTTCATCACAAGGCTGCTGATTGGATGAGAATAGATCACAAAATTCAAATTCATATATATTTATTGTACATCACAGTAATTTATGCATATTATGATGGCTAACCACATATAAATAATATTTGATGAAAAACGACGTGGTCATGAATTTATTCTGCACAACAAGACAAATTCTCACACTGTAACTGTAACGCGAGACGCGAGAGTCGTGGCAAGCGTGGCATTCCTTTAAAACAAGAGAACAAATGCCATACGCCATTTGTAAATGTATTGTTTTGCTTTATTAGCGATAGATAATTAATGATTTTGACGTGTTTTTCAAGAAAAACACACATTTTATTCATTATTATAAAATATAATCTCTTACATAAAGGGCGAGTCTGTTTTTCGGTCTGTCTGTCTATCTTCTCCCCCCCCCCGTAAGAAGTGACCCCCAACACCATATATATTCTGAATCAGCATGACGCGACGACCATTTTAGGCCAAACAAATTTGACCAAAAAATTTGACAAAAACAAACGTAGCGGCCTCTTCTTCCTCGACGCTCCTGGCGAAACAGGCAACACCTTCGTTACCAACCCTCTTTTGGCCAAGGTAAGGCAGACGAGGAAGATTGCCCTGGCAGTTGCTTCAAGCGGCATTGCTGCCACCCTACTGGACGGAGGGCGCACTGCTCACTCGGCCTTCAAGCGCCATTCAACCTGGCAAAGCGGCAAAATCTAACCTGCAACATCAGCCGTGGCTCCACAAAGGCTAAGCTGTTCCAAGAGTGCAAGCTCATCATCTGGGACGAGGCAACCAATGAGCCACAAAGGCGCCTTTGAAGCACTCGACAACACCCTCAAGTCGTCGTACCTCTGGAGCGAGGTGAACCGCCACAGCCTGAAGACCAACATGAGGGTGCAGCTCAGCGGCGATGAAAAATCTGGCCGCTTCTCTCAGCAACTGCTGGAGGTCGGCAATAGCAGACTCACCACCACAGCTGATGGCCAAGTCAAGCTGCCATTCAGCAACGCAGCGGCGGACATCACCCAGCTGATGACCAAAGTCTTCCCAAACCTCCACCTCCGCTACCAAGACCAAGACTGGCTGAGCGAGCGAGCCATTCTTGCTCCCAAGAATTTGGCCATGGATGATATCAACGCCAAGCTGCTGGAGCAACTGCCTGGCGACCCAACGAGCTACAAGTCGATGGACACAGTTCCTGATCCTCACCAGGTCATGCACTATTCGACCGAGTTTCTCAACAGCCTGGCGCCTTCAGGTCTGCCACCACACAACTTGCTGCTCAAGGTCGGCGCGCCTATATTGCTAATGCGCAACCTGGATGCTCCCAAGCTCTGCAACGGCACAAGGCTCACAGTGAAGCAGCTCATGCCCAGAGTCATCGAAGCCAAAATCATGACAGGCAAGGGCAAAGGCGAAAATGTCTTCATCCCAAAGATCCCGCTCATCCCATCAGACCTGCCATTTCAGTTCAAGAGGCTGCAGTTTCCAGTCAAGCTAAGCTTTGCCATGTCCATCAACAAGGCCCAGGGCCAGTCCCTTAAGGTGGTTGGACTCAACCTCAGTGAGCCAGTGTTTTCACATGGCCAGCTTTATGTGCGGTGCTCCAGGGTGGGTAACCCAGACAACCTCTACATCCTCTCTCAAGATGGCAAGACCAAGAATGTTGTGTACCAAGAAGCGCTGCAGAACTGACCAGAAGTGAAATTCTTGGCACAGATTTATAAAATCCGAATAAGATCAGTACAGCCGTCATAGCAGACTAAATTCTAGCTCTTTAATCCCGGGCATCGCCGGGTAGCCCAGCTAGTATCACTATAATTGTAATTCGTAGTGGAAATGTGTTATTTTCAACTTAATATTAAAGTTACGAGAGGGTCTGGGCTCTCGTAATGTAAAGAGGATATTTGCGAGGATTTTCGTTCTCGTAACATTACGATGTTTCTGTCAACGGTTAACGAGTGGAAGTTAATGTTAAGACTAATGTTAAGACTAATTTTGTTTCTGAGAACGGGCCCCAGGGTTCGAAATCCTAACCTGGTCCGCGGGCCCGATGCCCGTATTTTAAGGCTAGGTCTTGCATTTCTAATACTAGCAGGCCTGACGGGCCCGTAGAAAATCCACCCCTAGCATGCTACTAGCAATGTGCACTAGTGATCTCAGCGCCGGATTCAAGAAGAAATGCGTACGCACAAGTGCGTACGCAGAAGATTTAGAACACCTCACGCACAACTTTAGTTGGAATTCAAGAAACGTGCGTGGGATGTTCGGACGCACAGGTTAGCACAGATTCCTGAATCCAGACTAGCAGCGTTGGCATAGCAAAAATCGATAAGAAGTGGGTGGAGCTTACTTTTGGCCAGTGGCAGTGAACTTTACATTGTGTTGGCCAGGGTTTATTTACGTTAACGGGTCGTGCGGCACGCTCACTGTTCACGTGCGCTAGGTTGTGGAGTAACTCGCACATCCTCGCGCATTTCACGTTTGGATGTAAACAATAAAGTATCACTGGTAGTTAACAAACGATCAGTATACTGTTTTAAAATAATATTAATGTTAAATTATACAGTAAGCTAGAGCACCTACCTTATAGAGTAAGCTAGTAGCGGTAGGCGTGCGCCTTGCCGCGGAACTGCGCGCAAGATCTGCGCTTATAGCGCTTGGGATCAACACCTCCTTTCAGCAACGCTTCTCTAGTATCCCGTCTCATCTGGTCGCACCACTCAGGTTTAACCGTGTCATATTGTTTTTAACGTTTGAAAAAACTATATACATTTTATACAGGGTGGAGCTAAATAAAAGCTTCCCAACGTTATGACCAAACGTGGTTTACGTAAAACACCTCTCCGTGATGTGCTTTATCATTTGCATAGCTTCCTGTCTCCCAATATTCTGTACACCATCTAGCACATCAGGCAGAATGTTGGCATTAAAAGAAGAATGTCATCTAAATATCGGATTGGTAATCAATGTTGGCTTTTCAAAATCCTAAAGCAGCACGTACAACAACACACCTAGTCCAAGTATGAACATAATTATATCGTTGCTCTGCTGCAGTTCGTGGGTTCGCGTAAGATATCGTAAAGCAAGCATTTATAAACTAGCCACCGTTTCCTAATAGCCACCCATCTCCTATAGCACAATTCTCAAAGATTGTGGGGAGAGCAAAGTTATTTAAAATATAAACGGCAACTGTAAAAGAGACGGAAGAATAGGCATATTCCCGCAGAGGAAATTGACTTCATAATTTATGAAGTGGGACAGAGAAAGAGGACTGTTTGGAAGTTTTGCTGGCAACTGGCAGCTGTAGTTAATAAAAAGGCATGGCAAGCTGTGACTAAAGCAGTCAATGCCGTATCCAGCAAGCCACAAACTCAAGATGAGGTGATCGAGTGTATGGGTGTGTGTGCGTGTGAGGTGATGTGAGTGTAGGTGAGGTGAGGTGGGGTGTGTATGTTCAGCTTTCATGTATGCCAGGAAAAACTCAACCCTATCCTTGCCGGATTTGGCTGGTTCCTTAGATGTTTACATTACTCAATCTTTTCATTTGCTCCTGCAATGAAATCAACTAACCGACCCTACGGAGCGTTGTTTTTCTCTGCCCTATATGTCCCAAACATTAGCTTTATAATTCAAGATGTATGATCCACACAGTAAATGATCAGTGTGGGTGTGTGTAAACGCGTGCGCGTGTATGATGATGATGGAGACGTACCTAAATGGCTGTTTGTGCGTACGAACGTAAACCATTTTAAAAATTCCGAATTTCAGTCTTTTAATTTAAAAAAATGCTGTGGTATCCAGGGAATGATGCGAGCCTGTAATTTGCCAGGCGGGCCTGTAAAATCCCTTACCTACAGGCCCGGCGGGCCTGTAAATTTTCAAAATAATTTTTACCCCTGTATATGTGCGTGTGTGTGTGTGTTTTCATTATTATAATGGCGAATATAAACTCATCGCGTGTTAATAACGTATAGCATGTTGCGACTACCCGGTGCCACTGTGTGAGCTTTCTATAAGCTCGGGTACACCGCAGTTCAATGTATTCCTCTTTCTGTCCTGTTCCAATGTCTGTCGTGTAGCGAGGTATCTGTATTTTGCAAAATTTCGCATACTTGAATCTAATAGGTCCGTTAAAATCACGTGGGGATACGATGATATAATCACGTGAGAAATGGCAGTCTAGATTCCATTGAGCCAGTGAGAACGCCAGATTTCTTCAGGGTAGTTCGCATCTTGTTGCTATGGGGGAGGAGTTCGTAAAAATAGAACAGAGTCATTAATTATGATTCAAAATAGAAAACGTGCAATACAAATCGATCAAATTCCAACCATATCCTCTTAAAAAATCGATGGTGGCATCGT